CACTAAAATATTGGAAGAGGAGTATCATTTAAAAAGTTAGTATCCTACATTGGAAGATTACTAAAACATTCCAAGAGGAGTTTCCTTTAAAAAGAAAATAAATGAGCATCACTTGAATAAAAAATTGATTTGGGCCTTCTAATATAATAGGTGAGCTCATCAAAATAGTTAAAATATTTTTTGGGAAAAAAAATCATATTATCCAAAAAAATGGTGGTAAAAATATTTTTTTTCAAATTCGGATCGGATATCCAATAACTTAGCAAATCGGACATGGATTTAACAATCAAATATCCGTTGGATTATTGGATTAGATCGGATAGTCTTAACGGATCGGATCGGATTTGTATAGATCTATTCCATATCCGATCCATTTACAGCCTTAGATGTACCCAATTGCCCAAACAAGCAATTGGAATTATTTGCACAAAGACAAAGTTTAATCAAATGTATTAGGCAAAGATAATTTCAATTTGAACAAAGCAAATTATTTGGTCACAATGATAGCTAATTCTTGAGGTGAGGTTTTAAAATAAATATAGGATGATAAATCTAAATGAAAAACATATATTTATATTTTCTTTGAATTAGTATTACTAATATCAAAAAGTTATATCTTATATTTTGTTCGTGTATTTATTTATTTATTTTTGGTATTCGATTCAACCCCGCTTTGACTCTAATTAAACCTTTTGAACCTTGATCCTTAATCTTTTCCATGTCAATGTTCGGACTGATTTTCAAAACATTGAAATAATCGACAATCAAATAAAATTTAATTCTCTATAATGCCATACAATTAAATTCGACAAATGGTGCATTAAATACATGTACTAGTGTCAACGATAAACTTTTTATGTGATAAAAATAAATTACAAACTCGAATATTGAAATATTCAACACTATAACCTTCTAGTACAATGTGTCAACTCTTATACATTGATTGTGAACAATTTTGTTTATGATCAAAATATAAATAGTGTCAAACTATTTTTCAACATTACTAAATATCATATATTTTATTATTTTATTCACGTAATGTATTAAACATGGTATTATTGTATATGTTATCGAAATTGCTTAGTAAACTTCAAGTAGGAGAGTCTTCCATGTAACCTCTATGAATTGTGTAACCATCGTTTACCTTGACTATTTCATTGCAAAATCTATGTTTATCAAGCAAATATCTGATTTAATATTGATCGATTTTCAACAATTTCCTATTCTTCTACACAAATAATTTAATAACTATATTTAACAAGGACATTTTTATCATGGAAAGTAACCCGTGAGTTGAAGAACTAAAAATAACCATGGGTGGATTTTTCTCTTGAAATATATCACATTAACTTAATTAAAAACCTGTCATTTTTCCCCCTCAAAACTTTATACTGTTTTCATATTTTATTCTTCTTACCTCATCATCTAAGTTCCAACCAAACTATTGGTGTTCAGAATTTCACTAGTTTCCACATGCAAGTGGGATTATATTAACGTGTGTTTGACGATCTTTAAAATTTTAAATTGTTTGTTACAGTGTGATTTTCTACCACACATTCACACAATAAAATATTTAACACACAAATGAATAAAGTTTCTTTACTTTTTAACCACACATTTCCTAACAAATACTGCTCAAAACTCTTTTAAACTGCCATTACAGCTATTAACAAGTTCAACTGCCACAGCGGGCGTCCCTTTTTTACTTGGAACGTGAATTTCGAAGAATGAAACATATCATAAATGGACAGACTATAATACACAAAAATTTAACTTAATTAACGAAGTCAAGTGTTGTC